GAGAACTTGACTTAGGAGAGCACAGCCAACTCCATCGAGGAGTCTGAGCAGGAGCTCTTCTCAAGCCCAGGGAAACCTGGACTTGCCCATGAGCCTCAAGCCTCAAATCTGACCCTTTGAGCTGCTAAAGGCCTTACTCTTTCAAGGAGTAATACTTTCATTTTTTGGTAGCAAATCTCTTAGAGTTGGCGTAATTCTGGTGGTTTAGGAACACATGAGTTTGATTTCTATTAATTTAATCCTATTATTAGAAATAGGATTACAAATGTGGTTCTGGAAAGGATTTTTTCTTTTCAGTTAATAACATGAGCTGGTGGCTCATGGCTATAATCCTATCCATTTGAGAAGCTGGGATTGGGAGGCCAGCCTGGGCAAAGTTAGCAAAACTATCTCAATGGAAAAAAACTGGGTATGGTGATGCATGCCCGTCATCCCAGTTGAGGTGGGATCACGGTCCAGGCTGACCTGAGTAAAAAGCGTGACCCTATTGCAAAAACACCCAGAGAAAAATAAACAAAAAAGGGCTAGAGGCATGGCTCAAGTGGCAGAATGCCTGGCTAGCAAGCATGGAGCCCTGAATTCAAATCCAAGCACCACAAAGACTGGTAGATATGTCTGTGAGGATTGATTTGAGATCTAATTAAATAAGTGGAGCATATACCACTAAGAAATGGTCCCATAGTGATACATGGTGTAAGAGAACATTCTAGTTTCAAATTTAATTTCTCCTGTGTAAAATACATTATTTCCATGAAGGTTGTTTTAATGATTGTGCCTATGGCGCCTGGGCATTCAGTGAAGGTGGACGTTGCCAGGGCCATCTGGGTTATATATAGGTTCCTGCTTCTGAGTTGGGGGTTTGCTATGTTGCATAGATTCCATGAGATGCCTTTGAATTAAGAAGATAGCAGCAGATGGATGCTAGCCTCCTCCAGCAGTATTCTCTACAAGCAGTGACCATGCAAAGCTGGCCAGGTAGGGCCAGGCCTTGGGCAGCGGTAGCCTCACTTGTCTCTAACGAGAAGAAATCTTTTTTTTGTTTTGTTTTGCTGGGAAGGTGGTGCTGATTGCTTTCTTCCATTGGGAAATCAATTTCACCATGCAGCACATCTCAGGAAGTGAGGTCCTACGATTGCTTTTCTAAAACAGACATGTTTCTGTTCTTATTAATCACAGAGATGACACAAGAGTGGTAGAATGTGTAAAAAGAAAACCTACCTGTTCCCTCTCCTTACCATACCCCCTGCCATCTAGAAATTAGGGATGAAGAAGAGATTTTTGTCTTCCAGTCTGAAAACTACACCTTCTTCTGGTTTAAAAAAAAGCAGTCTCATGTCCTTGGAGACCTGCCATATATGAATTTCTGCAATGAGAGGAATTTTCAGAGATTTTTGTCAGCTGTCATTTTGAAGGCAAAGTAAGAGCCATGGTTCCAGGAGATGCCTAAAATCACTGTCATGTGATTGTGGGACTGGATGCTTCTTCATCACAAGCCCATAAACGTGTCCTTTTTAGAGCTGAATCCAGTATCAGGTACTGTTGGTATGAGTTTTTATTCTATGCTGGGTTTTCTGATATATACAGTATAGCTCACTTTTGTATAATATGTACAATAAAAATCTCAATATGAAAACAAATTGAGGAAGGAAAGTATTAAATAACTTGTTTCGTAAAATAATGCAAAGTCTTCTTTGATCATAGTCACTTCTCATACTTTTGAAAGTGGTCACCCTGTTTTGTTTTTTTCTTTAACATACAAGCCGCTTACAATACTAATTGTATAAAGTGACGAGCAGGGGAGTTATGATGGAGTAGTGGTCACCTCCATGCAGGTAGGAGGCAGCAGGGTATTATGGCTCATTTGTATCCAAGGCCTGTAAGTGTTCTACACCAGCAAGCAAGCAGCCTCTAGGGGGCAGCAGAACACCAAGTAAGACATGTGCCTATGGTGCTGGGGCTTTTCAGACTCACTGGCTACCTCTCTTGTGTATTCTTCTCCCCTTAGCCTAGAGATCCTCATCCCCTTGGCCTCACTGTGTGGCTGCCATTAAGCCAGTCATTCCCCACTTGTCTTCATTCATCCCCCTTCTCCTCCATACTGCTAAACCTCCTGGTGTACTTTGTACCATGTCACATAGCTTAACAGTGGAACTTGTTTACTATTGTCCACAGCTGGGTACACCTGTCCTTATGGAAGGAACAATACTTTATGACTCTGTGTTTTGTATAATGCCAAAAATGTCCTGAAGGTAAAAAAAAATTCTGGGCAGCTGAAGGAGCATTCCTTAGTATATAATGAGTGCTTGAGGCATATTTGCTGATTTGATTGTCAAGATGGTCTTGTTTTTTCACAAGAGAAAGTATTATCTTTGCTTCACTTATTTTTGAAGTGGCTACCTTCTCACATGCCCTCAGGTTTAGTTATTTCTTACTGAGATGAAAGATGGGGCTTTCAGAATTAACCCATAGGTGTATAGAAAATATCAGCTTTGGTGCCATCGATGCACATTGTATCTTGATCCTTTCTCTTCCCAGATGTGTATCTTGAAAAAATTACTAACTTCTTAGCCTCAGGTTTTTATAAAATGGGGTTGTGTAGGGTGATCATATAATTTATTATCTAACCCAAAATACATTTGAGAATAAAGGATGTTAAAGAAAACCAAAGCTGGGCAGTAAAGTAGTAAAAAAAAATTTTATGCAGGACTCTCAAAGTAAGATGGAAAGTGGTGCTGGTGACTCATGTCTGTAATCCCAGCTACTTGGAGGCAGAGATCAGTGGGATTGCAGTTTGAGGCCAGCCTGGACAAAAAGTTAGTGAGACTTCTATTTCAACCAATAACTGGGCATGATGGCTCCTGTCATCCTAGCTATGAGGAAAATATAAATAGGATTGCACTTCAGGATGACCTGAGCATAAATGCAAGACCTTATCCCCAAAATAACTAAAATGAAAAGGGCTTGGGGGGTGTGACTCAAGCAAGCCTGCCTAGCAAGCATGAAGCTCTGAGGTCAACCCCCAGTATCACCAAAAACCAAGTAAAGTGGGGGAGGGGGGAAGAAAACTATTCTCACTTCTGAATACAGCACAGACAAGTGAGGTATAGCCAGGAAGCACAGTAGGGGGTCATTGGATGAAAAATTATTGAGGAAGCATCGGGAGTTAGGGGAATTCTAGTTAAATGGACCTAACAGGATTCTTGCTGAAGACTGACCAGGCTGATCAGATACCAATGGTGGGGGGAACAAAGAATTTGGCCAGATATTGAAGGTGGTCAGATATCAAAGGTGGGGGGGGGGGCTCTCTCTAAACTGACTTACTAGGATACTTGCTACAGCTAGGTGATGTAGACCCAACAAGTATGGGCACAAAGGTCAAAGGCTAGAGGGTTTAGAGGAGCCTAACTAAAGCCTAGTCAAGAAGTTCTAGTGTGCCATTGTGCAGTAGAATGACTATAGATAACAAAAATGTACGTCTGTTTCAAAGCTAGAATCGATTTTGAAAGTTTTCACCATGAAGAAATGATAAAAGCTTGAGGGGGTAGATAATACTGCACAGTATACACATCTACTGAGACCTCACCTAGTACCCCATGAATATGTACAATTTTTGCTTTTATGTGCCAGTTAAATCTATTTTAAATAAAAATTATAATCATAGTCTTTTCAAATATTTTTTATGAACTGATTTTATTTTTATTCCTTGGTTTGCCTTCCTATAAATGGTCCTATTCAAAATGATTTTCAAATAAAACTTCCTTCAAAAAATTAAAATAATAAATAAATTGGAAAAAATGCTGAACTGTTTGGGATGCTGGGAAAGCAGGGGTAAAACATATGGTGCTTCAAAAACTCAAACAAAAATATGCATATAAAGTGTCTAGTATTGTGCTTGGAATACATGGTGTATTCTGATAACAACTTCCTTTTCCTTGCTGAGAAGGTTGAGCAAAGAAGCACTAGCCAGTGATAAGCAGGTTTAAAAACCCTGCTGCAGGAAGGGAATATTCCTAGCTCCCAGGTTCTGTTAACCAGGGTGTGAGTTTTATCCAAGTCAAGCAGGAAGATGCTGATTGAAGAACAGAGTCCTGCCCAGTGCACTGAGGTAGCCATCTTACCAGAAGAGAATGAACCCCTGATGGTCATGATTTAGGGTTGCGATTTGGCTGTCCTGGAAGCACAAAGCTCTCCCCTTTACTTGTGAATTCACAACTGCTTCTGGGCAACTTGCCCAAAAAACTGGGGGAACTGGCTTTGGCACCCTTCTTTTTTTTTCAAGAGTGATTTTTCTACTTTATTCTTCTCTTTTTTAATTATTGTTATAATGGAGGTACAATGCAACATTTACAAAAGTTCTCACAATATATTATAGTTGAATTCACCCCCTCCATCATTCTCCCCTATCTCCCCATTCCCAGAATAACTTCAGCAGGTCTCATTTTCTCCATTTACATACATGTGTACGTAATATTTCCACCATATTCAGCCTCCTACACCCTTTCCTTGTATCTTCCCACTGTTGGCACCCCTCTTCTGCACTCAGCTCCTGCCATATTAGGGACTTGGTTTTAGCGATCATGCTTAAATAATGGGTTTACCATAAACTTAATAGTTTGAGCTATAGAATATATATCTGCTTTGAAAGTTGGTGTCCCTATGTACCCAGCATGAGTGCCATTAGGTTCATCCCTTTCAGAAACTGTGAATTCATCACTTCTCCCCCCTACCTCTGGTAAAGGCTGTTCTGCTCTCTCATAGTGAGAGCTCTTTAGCCTGTGTGTTCATTTAACCTAAAACCCTGCGTTGTGGAGGTTTGGGTTTTTGCCAATTCCCTGTGTGGTGGTGAAGTGAAGGAGTGGTCTGTGGCCTCCGGGAAGTAGAGAAGGATGTGTGTGCCATGAATAGCAGTGTTGATGTGCAGCAGGAGAGTCAAGCCTGGAGCAGGGAGTGCTGCAGATGTATCCTCGGGCATGGTTCCTCACAGCCTCTTCTCTCTCCAGGTATGTGTACATTCCACTTGGTGGGTCCCAGCATGGTCTGCTGGGGACGCTGTTTTCCACTGCAATGACGTTCGCGTTTGTGAGCTACTGGCATGGCAGTTACGACTACCTCTGGTGCTGGGCAGCACTCAACTGGCTGGGAGTAACTGTGGAGAATGGAGTCCGGAGGCTCCTGGAGACCCCCTGCATCCAGGACAGCTTGGTGAGCAGGATTCTTGCTTGTTTGTAGTAGAGGATGGCTGTGTTAGGGGAAACAGGTTTGGGAGGGACATGGGTCATTACAGTCACCCCTTCATGAGCCATTCCTGCCAGCTGGGTTCAAAGTCCAGGTGTGTAGATGAAGCATATGTAGAAGAGAGACTTCTGTAGCCATCACTTAAGTGAATGATTAATTGATGTTGGAATTTTATGTAACAAACGTGTAAAAGCCCTATATGTTTGCTATATAAAAAAATCACAAAATTTAGTCAAGGAAGAAGGAAACTTCCTCTTTAATAGAAAGTATGTTAATACCCATTCTCTGAATAATTTCTATTTATTACACACATACACACACATTTAAAGCAAATGCCGTTATTCCAGAGATATGGTTGTATTGGGACCACCTTTCCAAGTCACTGAATCCATTTCTTACAGTCCCTTTTAATGGCTACATAGATTTCCAATCTGTGGATATGTCATAATTTAATTAGTCATCTATTATTAATTATGGTTTTACAACATTTTAAAAACTATCAATTGTAATGAGATGGATACCATGACTAGGGTGAATTCCGATCAGTAAAGTTATTAGGTTAAAGGTTTCTCTTACCTCTAAGACTTCATATACTACATATCAACATCATGGGTAGGAATGCCCTTGCAAATCCTGAGTGGCACTAGCATTTTAAACCTTTGATAGGTACTATTGATATTAGCATAAAAAACAGCTAAGGGTTTGAGGTACATTCTAACTCTATAGTAAAACAAAATTAATTAAACATTTCCCTTCACACATATTTTAAACAAGCACAAATTGTATCTTGTAAATGTGGCATATGATATATTAGAATCTTGTAGGAAATCATTATTTCTGAATATGGAGCAGTACTCTACTAACCCTGAAAATGGTAGCTAAAAAGAAATATGCTGGTATCACTTCTCATGGCAAGCAATAAAAACCCACAAAAAATTAGTGTGGCTAAATTCCACCCAGTACGTGCAACTGAAGCAAATGCAGTTTTTAAACAGCCACCAAAACAATATATTTGAGTGTGTTTCTACAGTCACAGGGCAAGTGGACAGTTATTTCAACCAAACCTGAGACAAGGCACATAGCAAAACAACACATTTAAAGAAATTCAAATAGGCTCATGCATGTTTAAAGATAAATATTTTATTTAGTAGACAAGAAATGCCAGTGAACTCTAATAGAAAATGATATTTCAATGAAAGCATGGCAGTGTAACACACAAACCCATAAACAGTCGTATCCTAAATATTTTAATCTTTAAGTGTAAACATTTTCCCCAAAGCCCAAAAGCCTAGTTATCATTCATGAAACCCGGAAGGGTCTTTTCAGCCCAGTCTGAACCCCTGTTTCTATGTTCTTTCACAGATAGTCTAACATTAATCTGGAACTTACTGGTGAGCAGTGTTCTATGGCCTTTGAGCCATAGCTTATGCTGTTAATACATTTTAAAAATCCAAAATGTTAAGGGAGGAATCCAGCTGTGCTATGTGACTACAGCTGGTTAATTTTGTTTGAAAATAAACCAAAACAACAAACACACTCACTGGATGAGCACTTGAATGTGTGCTTTGCCACATCAGAGAGTAGCCCAGGAATGTCATGTGTTTATCCTATTTGACCTTCCATCCACAATTCAGATACCTAGGTAATTTTTATATGAATATTTTATAAAATATTTATCTTACATATATGCAAATATGATGTTCAGTTTACATATTTATTAAGTGAAAACATGTGTTATAAAACTTTAAAAAATTGTGTGTCTTTTATCCTGGAAGCCTGATAGGTGTTTATGGCCATTTAGATGCTTCTGTCCTTGAGTGCAGGGTCAAGATCATATTACTTCTTATGTCCCCATTGCTATCTCAGTTTCTGAGTTAGCCTCAGTGTTAACTCAGTGTCAATTGATGCTTTCACATTGGATTAATTCTTTAGTTCTCCTTTCACTGTTTACCTACACTGTCTTCTTCCATTACCCTGTTTCTTGTATAGTTCAGCAGAGAACCTGATTTCTTTTCCAAATACATGACTAATATCCCAAACTCTCGTTCAACTTCTTGAGTTTTGGTTTTCTTTCTTTCTTTCTTTTTCTTTTTTTTTACTATATTGTTTCCCCAACTGAGCTTACTCTTCTTCCTTTTCTTTCTGTGAATTCATTTCCTTTTTCTTGGTCAAAATCTGAATAAAGACAATGCCTCATTGCCACCTAATTTCATCTAACTTTAATCTCCATAGTTTGTTTGATAGTATTTTCATAATGTAAGGTCATTCTCTGTGCCCTCACATCCTTAGTATCACTTAGGGTTTTCCAGAGAAACAGGACCAATAGGGTGTATGTGGGGGAATGTATAGAAAATTAGTATACAGAATTAGGTCATATGACTATGTAGGCTGAGAAGTCCAGACCCAAGGTAACTGATGGTATAAGTTATAGACTGAGTTTGAGGCAGACTAGATTTATGACCTAGCTTGAAGACAGTCATGGAGAAAGGCCTTTTTTTCTATTCAGACATTCAATGAACAGGATGGGTACAATCTGCCTTATTCAGTCTGCTGATTCAAATAGTAGTCTCAACAAGAAACACCTTCAGACACACCTAAAAAATGTTCAACCAAGTATGTAGGCACCCTGTGGCTCAGCCAAGTTGACAAATAAAATTAACTATAATACCCCTTTTCCATAGCATGTATCCTTCACCTGTTTTTAAATAGATTGACAGATTTTAAAGATAGACATCTAAATAACAAGGATTGTTACTCCTTCTTTTACCTTTATCATCTTCATCTGCAACCTCAAGGCCTGTGTGGGCTCACAATACAGTAGGACTTACTGGTGTTAGTTGATTGATCGCTGGACATTCCCTAGAACACTGGTCATAGAGGAACATTGTAAACAGGAAGCCCTCTGAGCTTCTGGAATAGGGCTGTCCCATAGAATTTCCTGAGATCATAGAAATGACCATTATACTCTCTAATATAGCAACCACCAGCCCCTGAGATACTGAATTTTTTACTTGTTTAATTTTAATTAATTTAATTCTAAATAGCTGTCATGTGGCTACTGGCTACCACTTTCAACAGTGCAGTTCTAGAACATTTTCTCTTCTAGAACACATTAGCAGCATGTAGCATATCTGCTGTAATTTAGAATGATTTTCATTAACGGTGTGGTACCTCATGGATCCAGCTGGCTATTGAACCTCTGCATCTGACTGTCTCGAAGGTTTCTCAAGCTTAGCATGTGTAATACTGAACTCATGTTCCCCATCTCCTAGTAGTTTCAGTTTCTTTCTCTCCCTCTAATGCTGTTTCCACAAATGGCACTGCCATCTGTCTGGTTACTCAAGGCCAAACCACTAAGTTATTGTATGAATATAACTCCCTGGGACCTGCCCATACATTCTAAGTCAATCTTGATTGCCCTGAAATTATCCTAATCCAAGCTGGTCCCCTTGCTTACCTGGTCTACCAAATAGCTTCAATTAGTCTCTTGGTTTCTACTCTTGCCCCTTTTGCTTCATTATCCACATAGTGCTGAGTGGTGTTTCTCAATAAAAATCTAACCATATTGCTATCTTAAAAAAAAAATCCTCTAGTAGCTTTCCTGTTTTTTTAGGACAAAGTCCTTGGTATTTAAGTTGACATGGGAGGCCCTCCCTGAGCCTTATCTTGGTACCTCAACTTGTTCCTCCCTGCTCCCACCTCCTCAAACTCTTTTTTTCCTTCTCTTCACTTACAAACCTGGCCCCTTCAGCTTCAGCTCCCCCACACAGGGCTCTTCCATCTCCTAGATTGATCCCTGTGTATCCCCTCTACCCCTGCTCATCTTCAGATTTCACTTGAATGATACCTCGTTTGTGAACCTTTTGCTGACCCTCCAAGTTTGATCAGGTCCACCTTGGTAATTCATTTTGGACATCCCATAAATATTCTCTTCTGTAGTTCCTATAAAGTTATAATGAAATATTTTTACATGATAACTTGTTTGGTTCATAGCTCCCTCACTGAACTATAAGTCTCATGAGATCAGACAGGTTATATCCTTGACACTTATCACAACACCTGGCACCATGTCTTGTTGAATGAAAGGATGAATGAATGATGTCTTCTGACTTCACTGAGTCCAGGGGAAACTGGGTATAATTATGCAGCAGGATGACTGATAAATCTAACACTGGAAGAACTTCATAAAGCTGAGATTATTTTAAAGCATTGTCCTGGGACATTATTTTATTTTGTAGCGATGTAGATACTAATATGTTTAGTGATGGCAAAATGCTATTTTAATGTTTAGCGCGCGCACACACACACACACACACACACACACACACACGAAAGAAAGGGGTAGGGAGGAATTAGCCTTCACAGTACCCTGCTGCTTTAAGAGAGGGAAGGCTATTGGGTAGGACTCACTGAGGCACAGAGCTGTAGGAAGCTGACAAAGGCATTTTCACAGAGTGCCCAAGCTGGGTGGAGAGAGCAGAGTTACTGCCACAGTGACATGCTTTTCTTCTATACAAATACTCTCCAGGGAGCTAGAATTTGTGTTAGGCACTGAAATCCTTTAATAAGTGGCAACACTAAAGCATCAGTAAAGTGACACTGCTTCTTGCTAGTTCCCAATTTGTTCTCTCCTTTGGAGGAAGACAATTTCAGGCTGCTTGTCAATTATTCTACACAAAGGAGAAGCTATATCTCAAACAGTTCATCCATCCTACCCTGAGAATTCCATTTCACTGCATAATTTAAGTATGTCCTCCCCTCTTAGCCCTTACTCTTTCTTCTTCTTCTTGTACTGACTTATATCTTCTCTCCGAAGCAGTAAAATTTCTATTTATAGACTTAATTTAGGAAACATGCTTCTAGTGGAAACCACTGAAGGTCAGTCTAATGGTCCTAGAAGGGATTTCATATTCTGGTTTGTCAGAAAGAATCCAAAGACCGTGGGCTTACAATGTTCTTCATTCAGTTTAATGGTATATTGATCAGTTTGATTT